TGGTCCTTATAACTATGCGTGTAGGGTTCATAATGCTGTGCTCGTTGCGGCTCTTCCACGGAGGAGACGAGTGTCTGACCATACCCAGTGCTTGGGCTAAGGAGACTGGACAGAAGTAAGTTAAGCAAAAATGGTTCTTATATCAAAGCGTGTTAGGTTCATAATGCTGTGCTCACTGCGGTTCTTCCACGGAGGCGACGAGTGTCAGACCTTACCCAGCGCTTAGGCTAAGGAAACTGGACAGAAGTGAGTTTAGCAAAAATGGTTCTTATAACAAAGCATGTAGGGTTTATAATGCTGTGCTCACTGCGGCTCTTTTACGAAGGAGACGAGTGTCTGACCATACCCAGTGCTTGGGCTAAGGAAAGTGGACAGAAGTGAGTTGAAGATTTTTGCGAAAATGGTTCTTATAAAAGCGCGTGTTAGGTTCATAATGCTGTGCTCACTGCGGTTCTTCAGGAGACGAGTGTCTGACCATACCCAGCGCGTGGGCTAAAGAAACTGGACAGAAGTGAGTTGATGATGTTTGCGAAAAGAGTTCTTATAACAAAGTGTGTAGGGTTCAAAATGCTGTGCACACTGCGGTTTTTCCACGGAGGCGACGACTGTCTGACCATACCCAGCGCCTGGGCTAAAGAAACTGGACAGAAGTGAGTTGAAGATATTTGCAAAAAGAGTTCTTATAACAAAGCGTGTTAGGTTCATAAAGCTGTTCTTCCACGGAGGAGACGAGTGTCTGACCATACCCAGTGCTTGGGCTAAGGAAACTGGACAGAAGTAAGTTAAGCAAAAATGTTTCTTATAACAAAGCGTGTTAGGTTTATTATGCTTTGTTCGCTGCGGTTCTTCCACGGAGGAGACGAGTGTCTGACCATACCCAGCGCCTGTGCTAAGGAGACTAGACAGAAGTAAGTTGAAGATATTTGCGAAAAGGGTTCTTATAAAAGCGCGTGTTAGGTTCATAATGCTGTGCTCACTGCGGTTCTTCAGGAGACGAGTGTCTGACCATACCCAGCGCCTGGGCTAAAGAGACTGGACAGAAGTGAGTTGATGATGTTTGTGAAAAGAGTTCTTATAACAAAGCGTGTTAGGTTCATAAAGCTGTTCTTCCACGGAGGAGACGAGTGTCTGACCATACCCAGCGCCTGGGCTAAAGAAACTGGACAGAAGTGAGTTGCAGATGTTTGCGAAAATGGTTCTTATAAAACTGAGGGTTAGGTTCATAATGCTGTTCGTGGTAGTAGCGCCACAGTGGCGCCACTAGTTTTTAAACAATTTCTAGCGTCACTACCGAAGTAGACCAACGCTTCCTCACGTCTCTATCTAATTTGAAAGCGCCCTTAGACTTTTTTTTTTCTATTGCCAATAAAAACTGACTAAAAAAGGAACTCCTTTTTCACACTAAACAGCAATTTCATACCTAAACACCTATTCTTCTTCTTGTCGTTCTGACAACAAACCTACACAGCGTCAGCCCAAAACTCCGCCACAAGAATGGCGTTGTCAGTAGCCTTCATTAAATCTTCTTGCGTGCAGTTTTTGGGGCACGCAGGGCACAACATCATATTCATGTGCTTCGTCCACTGGAGAACAAAACCACACTTGCACTCCAAGTTTGAGCCATCCAAGAATCCCCACCTGAACAGATTGTCCTTATTACGGCCGACCTGCGTCCAAAGTCTATTTAAAGACTTCCAGTTAGGCCAGGGGAGCTCATGTCCAGGCGGAGGAATCTCCGATATAGGGACAAAAGGGCAGGGAAAATCAGCTCTCTCACGCCATAACCTACATCTCTCTTTTGACCGATCGTCATGAAGGAGAGGGAGGGAGCACACTTTTTATGAAATTTTTAACCTTTGCGGCACAAGATCGTAATTAAAAAATGGGTGCCGTGTGTCACCTAGCTGGCGGATTTCTCTAACCCCTAATATAATAATGATACTTAATGACTATTTCTTCCACAGCATCGTAGTCTACGAAGGCGGTTCCGTCATGTCGCAAGCCCGCTCCCTCTGGCGGTTAGAGTTAGCGCGCACCAAGTGGGCCGGCGGCTTCATCAACTGGTACCACCCGATGCGAATCCGGCACATCACTACTGGCAGATACCTGGGCGTTAACGACCAGAACGAACTGTATTTGGTTAGCAGGTGTGTATGACGAATTGACGATATCTTATAGTCTTTGCCATCAAAAATCTATAGGAGAAATTCTTGAAAGCTCATAGAAAATAATTATGTTTGTCTGGTGGTGTCAACTATCAAGTGTGATATGCCTCGTTGATGACGTTTTTATTTAGTACTATCCTAAGGTTTTAAATATTTTAAATAAACAACTTGAAAAAATCGAACTGCCTAACGCGGGAATCGAACCCACGACCTTTTCGCTTACCTAATAAATTGGCCTTGCTTGACTCTAATCTCTAAAAAATTTTAATAACTATCGCTAAGGTTACACTGAAAAGATGTTTTGTATTTTTGGCTAAGTTGCACCACCTTTAACCGTAACTACAACCATAACCAGTGTTTTTTATGGATTTTGACAGACTTTTGACGTTTGTTATAGTTAAAGTAAGATGATGCAACCCAGCCTTAGCCCTACTTAATTATTTATTTATTTTAAAAAGTTTTACCTATGTTCCACGAATAAACGAATTTTGATTTAATTTTGATAAAAAAAGAAGACAGGTAATTTGTCATTGCACAAATTACTATAATCCTATTAGCCCCTCGTACTAAGCTAAATATGCTTGAGTCATGAGTGGGCTCGAACCCGCATTTCTCGGATCACGATTCGCCCAGTCCGACCCCTTCACCGTTCGGCTATCGTGGCTTATTATAATAACATTATTTACATCTCAGGGAAGAGGCAACCACAGCCTCTTGTGCCTTCTGTCTCCGGCAAGAAAAAGATGACCAGAAGGTGGTGTTAGAAGACAAAGACTTGGAGGTGATTGGAGCGCCCATCATCAAGTATGGTGACTCCACCGTCATCGTGCAGCACTCGGAGACTGGACTGTGGCTGTCTTATAAGGTAAGATCAACTTTATTATCATCATCAGGTCATTTAGTCTCCTTTGTAGGAGCAACACCCACTGTCACATCATCATCATCATCTCAGCCATAGGACGTTCACTGCTGAACATAGGCCTCCCATAGTCCAGCACCTTTCTGCTTAATACTAGAGGCAAATAAAGGTTTTGGCCTACACTTCTCACGTTGGCCAGAGGGGTTAAGGAGGCATGTCCCTATATATTACCTCTTATTCACCAATGAAAGCTAAGTTTATCGGAAAGTTAGCTCATTTCATATTTTGAAAGGGTCTCAAGCATTGTCGTTCGCATTTGGAAAATATTGTATAACCACTGGTCTAAACTATACAGGATGTTAGGTAAATGGTACTCGTATATGCATATTATGTTAACATAAGCTAGACACTAGCTTGATATTAGTTATTGCAATTCACGAAGGCGAGTTAGCTTTACATGTGTGGTGGCTCGCTACTGTTCATTTTTCAAAAGTTTTGATAGTCATTATTACACTATCGTTATGTGCATGTACACGTACACACACAAGTAAAGCTCACTCGCCTTCGTGAGTTGCAAGAACTATACCATTTATAACTTTTATGATGTTTTATGACTTTTATTTATACTTGTCCTCAGTCCTACGAGACGAAGAAGAAAGGCGTTGGCAAAGTGGAAGAGAAACAAGCGATCCTACACGAGGAGGGCAAGATGGACGACGGGCTGGACTTCTCCAGGTCTCAGGAGGAAGAGTCCAGGACAGCCAGAGTCATTAGGAAGTGTTCCTCGTTGTTCACTAAGTTTATCAAGTAAGGAATATTTTAATTTTATAACTTATATTGGGGCCCTCGCCCACGGCGACTTTATGTTGCGCGTTTCGTAAACGAGCGACAGCATCGCTACTAACGCGCGCTAGTCGCATTTGCAACGCACTACTGGAGTGATGCCAACATTGCCAACGCGCTACTAACGCTACAACAGCGCGACTGCATCGCTAAAAAAAGTCACAGTGGGTGAGGGCCCTTACTATTAGGTCTAGAGTTTAACTGAGTCATCGAGACTTCAGATGTCCAGTCACGGAATGAAAAGGTTCGTCAGTTTTCAAATTGATTCCTTCAACGAATCGCGAGCACATATTATTTATATTCATTTAAATTAATAATTACCTTTTGAAACTATGTTATAGAATAATCTCGAGTTAGAGAAAATAATCTTTAACTGTTCGCCAGTAAAGTTCAAAATTAGATCAAAGTTGATTGACGATTTAACTTGTCAAGAAGATTATTATGATTGATAAACTAAAACCTTCTTGTTGGTTCAACCTGCCATTACCTATCTATTAAATAAAAAAAAACTACATTTTGTAACATTGCACTGATGGGATAGAAAAATAAACAAGCAAAACCTTATTCGTTAGCAAACGTCATATTTATTTAAATGTTAGCAGCACTGTTTCTTGCACGGTTATGTTGGCAGGTTTGACTCTTACAGTACCTAGTGCAAGCGAAAACCGACACTAAGGTGACGAACCTTTTCATTCCGCGACTGTACTTTAGATTTGTATGCTCTCTTAAGTCATAAATTTTATATCAATGTCACCCTTTCCGTTTCGCTCCCATACCTCAGAAACTGACTCAGTTAAGCGCTACGATTTTTTCATTCTATATCTTATGGGGTTTTAAAAACCGCCCTGCAATAACCTTGAAAAAAGAAACAATTTTACAAGTTTGTAAGTTATTAAATAACTCAGAATCACTGTCCAAAAATACCAACCAAATTGAGAACTGCCTCCTTTTTGACGTCGGAAATGAGATCATTGGTGCATGTTAACAGCTCATAAAAAAGTGTGTCAATTGACTGTGAGGTAATGATAAATCTGATCCTATCTATTAATTATATCAAGCAAAATTCTAATAAAAAATCTAAATTATCTTTCCGTTACTTCCCAACAGTGGCCTAGAAACACTGCAAGAGAACCGTCGGCATTCGATGTTCTTCGCGTCAGTCAACCTGGGCGAGATGGTCATGTGTCTCGAGGATCTGATCAACTACTTCGCACAGCCTGATGAGGATATGGGTATGTTCTACACATCTCACATGTTCCAACTGGCCCACTTTTAACTTGGCCCAAACAAATCAAATCATTTATTCAGTACTTAGGTCCTTTACAGGGCGCTTGTACACGTCCCGAATATAGCTTGCACTAGCATCAATTCGAGACAACATAATAATAATATGGGCTGGTGCTGGGAAATTTAGTCACCTTAGTCAGCCTTAAATATTTTTTCTTTCGGCAACTGGTCCCATGCCATCGTTAAAGTTCATAAAAGATGCATTGTTTAAAACGAATTGAAGTACAGTCGGAAAAAAATTGTTAGTTAAAAACGTTTTGAAGAAAATTTATTTATTTATTTAAATTGTTTATTATGCATTCATGAAATTTTTTTATTAAAATTGTACACCAATAATCAAATCTGACTCTTAGAGATTCTAGAATCTAGAGGCATATCAACAGTCACAAGAATAATAATTTACTCGATTACATTTGATCAAAATTTTAATGAAAATACTGCTACTTTAGGTTCCTAAATGCAAAATGTTGCAATGAAATCATTAACTCCCAAGAATTTTCCAAATCCTCTTTTTCTTCCAGAACACGAAGAGAAACAGAACAAGTTCCGCGCTCTCCGGAATCGTCAAGACCTGTTCCAAGAGGAAGGCATCCTCAACCTGATCTTGGAAGCGATCGACAAGATCAACGTCATCACCTCCCAAGGGTTCCTAGCCGGCTTCTTGGCAGGCGACGAGTCAGGGCAGAGCTGGGACATGATATCGGGATACTTGTATCAGCTGCTAGGTTAGTAATGACTATGTAATTAATAATACCATACCATTGATAGTCCACCGACGAGGTGGACCGACGACATCATAAAGGTAGCAGGTAGGCGCTGGGCGCAGGCCGCTACCAACCGGGTAACATATACTCAACATCAAATAAACCGCACCTTCCGCGACGCGAACTTTAACGATTTTCTTCTGACACAATCATAGTGCCCCAACAATATTGGTGTTATTTGAAAGCCCAATAAATATCCTTAAAGAAAAACACATTTAATTTCTTAATAAATGATTAACATATACCATAAATGTGACTTGAAAGAATACCTCACTTTGGGCCCACCTATGGGATCAATTTTTATTGTTATAAAACCAAATAATGATTTCACGTGTCCTCTTTGACAGATGGATAGCGATTAATCCCAACTTAACAGTTTTACAGCCATAAAAGTTGACTCAAGCGTAACTACCTATTTTTTGAAGAAGTGACTCTGGATCCTTCTAAAGACAAATTTCTGGGGTAAAAACCTTTCCTTTAATGAAATGAAGCTTAGAACTAGGCTTTTTAATGGTGCCAATATTGGTGGGAAGTGGGGATGCATACGTTTGAAAATGCTTGTCGCGGGAGGTGCGATATATTTGATGTCGAGTGTAGAAAGCATTGGGGGAGGCCTATGTTCAGATTGTTCAGCAGTGGACAAGTGTAGCGTCATTTTTAGCTATTTTATTTTATTTTCGTATACCTATGTTTAATCTAATATTCATGTCTAAAGGTGGTGAATTATTAACCATTATGTAACGTGCATGTGTAGTAGGCAAATGTATGTGTAAACTCGTATAACAAGCCTTCAAATTCTTATAAAAAAGTCTTAGTAAACTGCCACATCTTTACCTGAAATTCATGGAAAAGAGATGATATATGATTTTTCTTGAAGTAAATCACTTTTTGGGTGCTTTTTAAGCATAAATAGACACTGGCAATAACCACGTTTTCTTTTCTAGCCGCCATAATCAAAGGCAACCACACAAACTGCGCTCAATTCGCCAACTCCAACCGATTGAACTGGCTGTTCTCCCGACTCGGCTCCCAGGCTTCTGGGGAAGGCACAGGAATGCTGGATGTACTGCATTGCGTGCTCATCGACTCGCCTGAGGCTTTGAATATGATGCGGGTGAGTAAAGATCTCTAGAGACTTTTCTTTTTTCTTATTCTTCGTCATTTTTTAACAATCTATTGTTTGAATGAAAGCCTTTTCAACCGACTTCAAAAAAGGAGGAGGTTCTCAATTCGACCCGTATGTTTTTTTTTCTATGTTTGTTACGCGATAACTCCGCCAATTATGAACCGATTTGAACAAATCTTTTTTCTGCGTATAGGTAATACCTCAAGGGTGGTCCCATTTAAATTTTATAATAGAAAAAACAATCCCCAAGGGTGGAAAATTGGGGATGAACTTTTTTATACGCAATATCTCCGCCGATTATAAATCAATTTGAACGATTATTTTTTTGTTGAATAGGTATTATCAAAAGGGTGGTTTCATGCAAATTTGAAGAAAATATTTCACCCCCAAGGGTGGAAAATTGGGGATAAACTTTTTTATACGCAATATTTTCAATTTTAAGTTTTTTTTTTGTGTTCACGCATTTGAAGTCGGTTTTATTTTTTTAAAAGTTAATTATTATCATAACGGGAAAGCTTTATGAAAAGTTCAGTAGATAAGTAATCTTTTCAATGCAAGAGTGAATAGTCACTTACAGGGCAGATATGAACCATCCTAGACTGCATCTCACTTAACATCTGGTGCGATTGCGGTCATATACTTGCCTTGTTTTGCATTAAAAAACCGCTTCTGTAGTCTGGTGGTAAGACCACCTGCTTCAGACCCAGAGGCCCTGGCTTCGATTCCTAGTGGGGCTATTCCTGCTCGGTTTGCTACACAATCTTCATAATCGAGATAAGATAAAGTCAGTTCCACTGTGGTTGAGGATTCTGAATTTTGGTCGGTCAATTTACTTCTCCAACTGCCGGAACACAACAGTGTTCATAAAATTCTTGCTATGATGACAAACTTAGAACACTTTGATATTAAATAGTTTCATTGGCTCTTATTCTAAATTTTTAACACCTTTTTTTCCCTAACAGGACGAACACATCAAAGTGATCATTTCTCTCCTGGAAAAACACGGACGTGACCCAAAAGTATTGGACGTCCTCTGTTCACTCTGCGTTGGTAACGGAGTGGCTGTAAGGTCGTCACAGAATAACATTTGTGACTACCTCCTGCCTGGAAAGAATCTGCTTTTGCAAACACAGCTGGTGGACCATGTGTCGAGGTAATTTAAACCTTATGTTATTGGGAAAGAGTTCAGATCCCTTTGTTTCATATGCGTTGGTAGCGGAGTACCTGTCAAGTCCTCACAGATACTGTGTCTGATTAGAAAATCTGCTACTTAAAACACAGCTGTTGGAAAACGTGTCAAGGTATTTTGAACTTTGTGTAATTGAGATAGAGCACGAGATTCATCTTTATAAGTAACGGAGAAGGTGTGAGTTCATCACAGAACAACATCTGTTACATTTGATGGAGCATTTGAAGCACTTTCTGGATCAGCAACCAGTTTTTTCGATATCTTGTATAGTTTAAAAATAATCGAGTTACATCACTTATCGTTTACATCCTGTATGCATGCCTTACGAAAATATTCTATATCCGTAAATATTAAACACATCGAAAAAGCCCCCTAACCCTAAGTATACATAATCACAAAGGCTATTATGAAAATTAACAGCGAGTTTATTTCCAGCGTCCGCCCAAACATCTTCGTGGGCCGCGTGGAAGGCTCGGCAGTGTACCAGAAGTGGTACTTCGAAGTGACGATGGACCACATTGAGAAAACCACGCACATGATGCCTCATCTAAGGATTGGATGGGCCAACACTGCTGGGTAAGGATTTATAAATGTCATTTGACATTTTCATTTAGCGCCATCTAGGGCCAAAGGCAAAACTTGTAATATGGGTGCCAAACCATCGGTATAAACATTTTTTGGTAAAGATAAAAGATGTGATATTATTACATAAATAAATACATAACTACCTAAATGAAGTAGTATAGTGATTGTGGAACGTGCAGTTTATTCAGCTACTGTTGGAAACCTAAAGAAAATAATGATGTTATTAAAAACTTCCATGCAAAACTTAGCCTCCACTGGTTGGGGTTCCATTTGCGATCAAGCTGGCTACACAGGAATTGCAGTGGCGGGAACGAGAGGTGCTGTAGCCTTCCTCGCTTTCTATGGCATATTTTGGAAGATTATGTCGGATAGAGAGAAGTCTCCAAAGATTGACGAAGCTGAAATTAGATTAAAGAATATTGCTGTTAAGCTGAATAAAATTATCGCACTTGGAGCACAAAACTTGAAATATGTGCCATATCGTACTCGAAATAACCATGTTTCGTTTTTTCCAATTTCCAGATACGTCCCTTACCCCGGCGGTGGTGAGAAATGGGGAGGGAACGGAGTAGGGGATGACCTCTACTCGTTCGGTTTCGACGGTGCTTTTATGTGGTCTGGAGGAAGAAAGACACCTGTGAACAGGACGCATGCTGAGGAGCCTTATATACGGAAAAGTGAGCCTAATTCCTTTACGTTAAGACTCATATTTAACATGAGTTATTGTCTGTTGGCTTGTTAACTTTTCACAGTATAAATCACTGCACTATTTTTATAAGACTTGTCATAATATTGAAGCCTACAAAAAGACACAAAATTTGCGTGTGCCACTTATGGCACACTAGATTGCTAAAATTTTGTTACAATCTGTTGCTAAGAAAATTGTAATAGGGGATAAAACTTTACACTGAAAAGCTATGATTTCTAAAGATTTGGATATTAAAGTTACAGATACGGTTTAGTTAACAAACAAACAATGACTTTATGAAAGACAGTCTTTAAGTATTTCTCTAATATCGTCATTTACTTTCAGGTGACGTGATCGGCTGTGCTCTAGATTTGACAGTGCCGATTATAAACTTTATGTTCAACGGAGTAAGGGTCACTGGATCCTTTACCAACTTCAACTTGGAAGGCATGTTCTTCCCGGTCATCAGTTGTTCGAGTAAATTAAGGTAAGAAGTACGAAGATAAATCTTCAAGAATAGTAAATTCATGCTGTCTGAATTAGAACATAGGCAGAAAATAAATACTAGAACTTTAGGCCCTTATTACAAAAAAGTTAAACGCGCGTTGAATACTGGTTTAGAACATAATTTCCATACAAAATGTGAATATAAACAGGAGTTCAACGCGCGTTTATCTTTTTGTAATAAGGTTATCGTTTATGGGTGGATTAGACCAAACAAGAGTACCTAAATATTAATCTCAGAATAAACCGTCAGTTTTGACATATTTCCCATACTGAAACTTTCAATGTGCCAGTTATACCAGGAGTTACTCTCGGATAAGTTTGGTCTAATCGGTCAACGAAAATTGTAAGGCATACCCGCAACATTTATCTGAACATAGCTGGTAGAGGCTGTATGAGAAAGCTAGAGATCTTGCTTGCTTGTTTACGTCTATCGGTAGACTGGAGACTGCCTTTGGCTAAAGTCGTTGTAAACACTGGTGAGCTACTACATTAATTGCAGCTGCTGCTTGCGTGACATGTGCGGCTTTTAGGGTAAAATGTCCGGCAAAATGAAGCACATAGTCCGGCTTTTGTGACCTGGCAACCCTATCCGCCATCTCTCTCTATTGGCAGATAAGCTTCGCATCCTAGGCCTACGGTATTTATTTATCTTTCTCCACCAGTTGCCGCTTCCTTCTCGGAGGCGAACACGGCCGGCTGCGCTACGCGGCGCCCGAAGGCTACTCCCCTTTAGTGGAGTCTCTCCTGCCTCAGCAGATCCTGGCCTTGGAGCCGTGCTTCTACTTCGGCAACTTGGCCAAGCGGGCCCTAGCTGGGCCACCACTGGTGCAGGATGATACGGCTTTTGTACCCACACCGGTGGATACTTTGCAGGTATGTGAAGGTGAAAGTCCTCACCACTGAGTTTCTTGTGCTAGTTCTTATCAGCACTGGCCCAGTTATTGTCCTGAAGTAAGGTAGAGTTATAATTGGGACGTGTAAAAACGATTTTCAAACTTAATTACTTTTATGACTTTTAAATAAAAATTCTTATTGTTCGGCATCCTTATAAATAAACTATTTTTTCTTTCTTTTTCAGATTACTTTGCCGTCGTATGTCGAACAAATCAGAGACAAACTAGCGGAGAATATCCATGAAATGTGGGCCATGAATAAGGTAAGTCCAATGTCAATATAAAGTCCTCAAATGATTGATTTTAACTGTTAAATGCAATAATTTTCCCCAAGGGACTGAAGTAAAAACATTGAAAAAAAAACTTTCTATTTGAGCCATCAGCAATCAGTAATTTATCATGGAGATATCAATGTGTTATTTGAGAATATGTTGGCCCCGTAAGAAAATTAGTTATGTATATGTCAAGAATAGAATCGACCCTATATGTTTCACCATATACAATAACACCTTTCTCACATTTCAGGTATTATTAAATTAGTACACTAATTTGATTTTTTTTCGTAGATTGAAGCGGGATGGATGTATGGAGATCAGCGCGAAGACTTGCACAAGATCCACCCGTGCTTGGTGCCGTTCGAGCGGCTCCCCGCCGCTGAGAAACGATACGACATCCAGTTGGCGGTGCAAACACTCAAGTAAATAACTATAAACGCCTTTTACTTCATTTATAACTATTTCTGAAAAAAAAAACTATCAAACGCCTAAGTGTAGTGCACCTCAATCCATTGCAATCTTTTGCGCTTCCCTTCTTTAGATGATTAAACCAAACCAAAGAAGTTAATATTCCTTCTGAATAGAGCAACAACCAGGGGAGGCCTTTGTCCAGCAGTGGACGTCATTTGGCTGAAAAGAAAGATAAGAAAAGAAAGAAGAGCAACAACCACGAGTTATCAAACGAAACCGATTTTAGGATGTTACTGGATGTCATTTGTATGTCAGTTTCTAGAATTATTTCACTGTTTTGTACAATAATCAATCACTGAACCAGTCACCACGTTTCTGAAGCACTATCTACGATTTTCAGCGTTAGCCAATAAGTGCTAACGAACTGTCCAAACAGTTCTGTTACGTTGCATAACGCATCTCTTTTTATCACATATTGATGCAGCTAGTGACATCTCGCTTGCTCAGTTCTTTGTTCTATTCCACTAGGTATATTAACTGTATGGATTAATATTCAATTTCTTTCAGGACTATTCTTGCTCTCGGCTACTACATCAGCCTTGACAAGCCCCCAGCGCGTATTCGCAACGTTCGTCTGCCCAACGAGCCTTTCATGCAGGCAAGTAGTTATCGTACATACTTAATCCTTTATTACCACAGTGTGTACAAGGTCTCACGACAATGCAGTTTTTATTCGCATCGCACTCTGATATAACAATGATGTCGTCCAAGTAAATAAGAAAAATGACTTTCTACTGTTTTGAGATTTTGCAATTAATCTAATTAAAATTTATTGCGAATCAAAACATATCCTACTGAGTATAATATTTTACTAAAAATTGTTGCAAAATAGTACTTATTTTACTTATAAAGTACAGTAAAAACGACTCATTTCTATTTGACAAAATCCTTTTCATGAGTCAAAAGTCTACTATCAGTACCTACCTAGTTTTATAGGAAGTGGAATTAAATTGATTTTTGTTTAATTATTATGTTGTCTAACTGCTTTACGGTTTCCTCCCCAGTCGAACGGTTACAAGCCAGCACCCTTAGACTTGAGTGCTGTCACCCTAACACCAAAGATGGATGAGTTAGTTGACCAGCTTGCTGAGAACACTCACAATCTTTGGGCTAGGGAGCGCATCCAACAAGGATGGACTTATGGGCTCAATGAGGTCAGTTACATTACTTAATTTTATTATTATTGCCTATTATATTACGTATTGTATTGTAGGTCGCGCATCGAAAGTTGCGGCGAACACATACTCACACTGATGTAATATTTGAATCCAGAATACGCAAGACGTCAGCGTGACAAGCGATTTTGTATCTGTATACGCTTTTCTTCTTTGCTTGTGTTGATGGCCTCAACTCTTGTTCCGCGAGCTATATTATTTTTACGTACGACATGTAAATAATATTATGTATAGTTTCGCTTTTGCAATGTCAAGTATCCATATATTTATTTGTATTATTTTTATGTTTATTTAATGTAGTTAATGTTATATTCGCTCCTACTGATAATTTTATATAATTGAGTTTCTTTGCCTTCGTGATTACTGACTTGGCTAAACCCGAGAGCTGCGACTCTCACACTTAATATGTCACTAGTATTTATACTAGGTGTGAGGGTCACAGCTATTTGCGTTTGGCTTTCATCACCAGTCAATATTCTTGTTATGTTATTTTTGTTAATATTCTTATTATCTTTGTCATGTTAGATTACAATGGCTGTAACTGCCACATTTGTTTGCATTACATCATCGAACATAACTGTTTTATTTGTAGTAAATACACTTGTATCTTTTTCATTCTTTTCTGTTTTAAATACAACAACTGTGACTCTAACACTTAATATTTATGACTCATACTTGGTGTTAGGGTCACAGTTTGTTGTGTTTGATCATCATCATCAATTTTGGTTATTCATTTGTTTTTTTTACCATCGACTTCATCTACAAGGCAACGTCGCATCGATTGTCTTAACATTTTTCACGTAAAGGGCAATTATGACAGCTGTGACTCTCATACTAAATATTTTACTAATCTATACTTGGTGTGAGGGTCACAGCTAGTTGTGTTTGACCATTAACATCAGTATCAACATTCAACAATGAAGCTGTGTATTTATTAGCTTTTATTATGAATTATTCATGTTATTATTATGTATTGTATAGGATTACTGTTATGATTCTTGTTTATTTGATTTTTTCGTGTCTTTATTTATTTTAGTTTGTCTCACCATAACAGATATGGCAGCTGTGACTCTCACACTTAATATATCACCTTTATTACTAGGTGTGAGGGTCACAGCTAGTTATGTTTGTGTTTATCTTCAATCAACATAAGAAGACATCATATTACTGTGTTTTTATTGTTATAATCATATGTTTATAGTACTTATGCTTACTTATTTGTGTAATTATATCTATATTATGTTTACAAATAATGCATGTAGATAATTTTAGTCAGAAACTTGATATGTAAACTGTTATTTTTTAAGTTTATTATTGACTAAAAAATCTTGTGACGAATTATATTCCCCTTTTCAATATTTTATACTATTCTATTAAGACTTGGCTTGCTATATCTTCTTTATCAGATATTGGATTTCCATTCAGCCATTTTGGAATATAATTGTAGTTTGAATAGACACCTTGTTTTTTAAAAACACCTTTTTAAATCACATTTGCCTTAATGTTGCAAGTCTAAAAATAAAACTATACCAATCAATCTTTTGAATTAGTAGTCCTTAAAGTAGCTAATACTGTATCCTAAGGGCTAGTGTCTGAAATTTAAACAAAAACAATGTTTTAGATAGATTATACGCTAATTTATTTTACCTTGTAGGATCCCGACATGCACCGCTCGCCACATCTGGTGCCGTACCCAAAAGTGGACGACGCGATCAAAAAGGCCAACCGGGACACCGCGTCTGAGACTGTCAGGACTCTGTTAGTCTATGGATATAACTTGGATCCGCCCACAGGAGAGCAACATGAAGGTATGTTTTTTTTACTACTTATAAAAAGAATTTTCTGCGAACCTAACCCTACAAGGACCTGTTTATGACAGTTTAACTTTCCCCCGGGACAAACTTGACCTTCATTGATCGGGTTTTTGTGGCGGTCAAGCTGTAGATCCTGGCTACACAGGAGTTGCAGTGGTGGGAACGAGAGGTGGGAATAATCCCGTTTGTAAGTCTAGGTATGGAAGTGACACGGGAAAGTGTTTTTGTATCGTTAAAAGTCAGCGTAGCTTCAGGGTTCGTAGTTTATATCAAACGTATTCGATATCGACTATTCTAATAAGACGAAAATGACATTAAATGTATGACGGATTGTATAGCGCCCTTAGCGGATATTTGCAAGAACTAAAATCTTCATCAATTTTTTAACGCAATCGATATCGAATGCGTTTGACGTAAACTCACACTACGCCCCTATACACTATTTTGTATGAAAAATGAAACAGCGCCCCCTAGGGCGGCTATAATATAGGGGGCGCTGTTTAATTTTTCATACAAAATTTTTCGATGACACTTTGAATACGCAACGAAACGAACTCGAAAGTTTTTCCTACTAGAGGTACAGATCTCCTTTAGATTTAAGCTTTGTGCCGTCATAATATGTCAAATATCACCACTTCCGTGCCGCTCCTATACCTCTGGCACTGAGTTAAGCGCTAGATATATTATTATGTATAAATTTTACAAATTTCTCCAATGAATTCTGAATTTTATTTCTTTTACATAAAGTTAAAATCCCTTTCATACAATCACTTTTCTCGTGGGTGCAGTAAAAATATTGTTTGTTACAGCATTGCTAGCTGAAGCCTCGAAACAGAAACAAGCTGATTTCAGGACGTATAGAGCGGAGAAGAATTACGCAGTCAGCTCTGGAAAGTGGTACTTCGAGTTTGAGATCCTGACTGCTGGGCCGATGAGGGTAAATATTTATTAGTAAAGTTGATGGGTAAAGTTCCCAATGCTGCTAATAGATGGCGCTGTATACATTTTAGCTGGCAGTGGCGAGTGACTGCTATTATTAGCTACAACTACTATTACAAATATCGCACTATCAGCGTAAATAGCAATAAATAAATCCTAAATTGACCGATCCGAAGTCTGGTAATCATTGGGGGAAGCCTGTGTTCAGCAGTGGACGTCCTGGGGCTGAAATGATGGTGATTAAATCCTAGATGCTGCCTAGAACCCGTCTGGCCATCACTCCCGATGGCTAAATAATCCATTTGCCTCAGATAGATTATAAAGGGTAGTCCTCCTGCAGTAGAGACTCAAATGGCCTGTAATTATGATGATGATGAAATCATTAAACAATACTAAACTCTTTGCTATCTCCTATCACAGGTTGGTTGGGCCCACGCTGATATGGCCCCAGGAATGATGCTGGGGCAAGACGAAAATTCTTGGGCATTCGACGGTTACAACGTAAGTCCACAATTTATCTATCTACCTTTATTTTTAGAGTAAGAATATATTTTGAGAACTTCTTGAGAAGTTAAGATTTACTGGAGTGGAAATGAAACAAGTAGACAACCCCTTTTTTGAAAAACTTGAGCGTTTAGACGTTATTTTAAAATACTATGTTTCAAACTTTGTTTATTTCTTAGCTCAAAATGACATTACATATTGTGATACGGTATTATTTTTAGAGGACCAATTTGTCAGGTTCGATTCCTGAATGAAATATCAAATATATTTTCATAATCAGTAAGAAATTATATTACTGCTAACTTGAAAGTCTCAAAATGCCATTCTCATCACAGTACTTTTCTAGCATTTCTATTGTAGTTTTTTAGGGTATTTTTGATTCTACATTATGAAAATGAAAGTTAGTTTTTATATGCTATTTTATATTATGAAAGTTAAAAAAACACAATACGCAGTGTGTAAAAGTCCACGGTGGCTCGAACGACGCATTCGGACAGCAATTCAAAGTGGGCGACATAGTCGGATGCTTCCTGGATGTTTGGGATATGACCATCAGTGAGTCGGACAATAAGCTGTCTTGATACTTGAATAACGCAGCTTAAGAGAAATTGGTACTTTAAATTGGGAAAATGTTGATTGAAGACAATTGGTTTCTAAAGATCTAAGCTATTGTTGAAAGAAATAAAGGGACCACTAATGAAAGGTCCATTCAATCAATGATAAGAATTTTTGGCGTTTTAAAACATTATGCATATCTTGCAAAAACTTAGGGAGGTGATTTTCGGCATTCAAAATTGATAGTTTTATTTCGATTTACCTGCACAAACTTTTTTAGTTATAACTAAAAGATAGGGAAAATATTTTTGGCACTCAAAATTGTTTCGATTTCTTTGGACAACTTTATTTTGTGAAAAATTGGACTACTTCTCAACCTGATCAAAATTTAAATCCAAGATAAAAGACCATAAAAATAGTAAAAATTTGATGATTTGAGTTTGTAAAAAGTATCAAGGGAGAATTTTGATGTATCAATGTCTATGTTGTTAACATGTGGTAACATTTAATGTGTCCTAAATCCCTAAATGTTGCCTGTATTCATTGTTTTCTCCCTCTCCAAATTCTTAATTAATCCATCTTCTTATGTATTTCAGAATTAGCTATAGAAAAATTATTAAATATCACATTTTGTGTCATAAAAATCACGTACTTGTTGGATGTTTTACCACCATAAGTATGCATAGATTTTCAGTAAAAAGTAGCAACATTATGATTGTAATTTGTACTTAATAGATAAAAGTTAGTCCATGCTAAAGTCAGAATAATCAATATTTATTAAATATCAGAGTTGTTTCTTGTATTTCCATCTTGAAAATTGTATCTTTTTTACTTTCAAAATTTATTGCTAGGGTTGCCAATAATTCAACCCAATATTTTTTCATCGATATTTTGATTTTGAAACATGCATTTTTCCCGAATTTTCAAGGAGGAAAAAGTATACAGCGGTAGCACAGAGTCTTTTGGCAAGCAGTGGGCGGTCGGCGACGTTGTGGGGGTCTTTTTAGACCTGATAGATAAGACGATAAGTAAATATCACGTGACGCCTCCTCCATTCAACACCAAGCTTTGGCTGGCTTTGGTAGATCTGTGGCAAGAATGTTTTAAAAATATTTTTAGAGTATGGGCAATTGGGCATCTTATGTACAGTTGCCAGCAAAAAAACTGCCATGAAATGGTGTCCTGCAATGTATTTTAAACTTAATTTCCTGATTGAGTAGCAGAAATATTGTGCTAGCAATAAGAGGACTGATGACAGTCAAATCTTATTATTTTTATTGCTGGTACAGTTAAGAATTTCATAAATAGATTTTGTTCGAAACTTATTTAGAAAACCTGGATATTAGTTGGTGACTATGTCATGTTATGGCAATTATGCCATACTTATATGCTTATTATAGGGATTACCCTAGAAAAATGTATCTTTAAGAAAATAAGAAAATCAAAGTCCTTTATAAGTATTCTTGCCACACTGCTAAACAGCTTTTAGAGTTATTCCAGAGCCGTAACGCATCAAAATTCATGACTGACATCGCTTCCAAATAATACCAATTACGGCCACCGCATCGCTTCGCTTGGTTTTTCAAATTTGAATTAGCACTGGATACACTTTGATTTGAATTGTTTTGAAACTGACGCTCGCCACGTAGGTATTTTCTTATCATAGCACGGAAACTTTCAGTTTTAATTAAATAGTTTTATTTTTATTTTTGATAGCCCTGATGTATAACTTACATTAAAAAAATAATTTTCCCAATGAATTTTTAAATTTAATAAAGTCTAAAGTCGTACAGGGAAAATATATCAAAAAAAATATTTAAAACATTAAAAAACAAAAAATATTCAACAAAACATTATTTTTTGAGCACTGTCATTGCAACGAGTTTCTTTTATTGTACAGTCATGGGCAAAAATAAATAAGCAGTAACGTGAAAATTTTCCATTAATATTTTTTGTGATTTCAAACTGAAAGTTTCCTATGTCACACGTAAAATGAACCACAATTTTCCGAATTCCAAAACCTATCGAAATAGCATGACTAATTAAGTAATAGGCAGGTAGGTCGTACATACAGACTAAAAAATTAAATAAAATTAATGATTTAAACACTCAAAGCGTATGTTCAGAATTTTGACGCTTTTCTTGCCTTTGAAAGAGCAGCTTTCAATTTTTTTAGTTTTATCTATTAGAAAATAATTCTTGTTCAATTTGAAGTAGTTCTTTAGAGATTTAGATTAGATTCTAGATAGTTAGTTACATTAACATAATCCATAAGACTAAAATGTGTGATTAACTCCATTGGTTTGCCATGACTAGTTGTAAATACACAGTTTTGTCGTAACTAACATGTATAGATCATTTGTGTTGTTTGCACTTCTATAGAACTAATATTTAACTATTAACAAAATAACAGTAACCTGTGAATATATTTTCGGCTATTTTGTGAACTAGAATATTGTAGTTTAGGTTTTTTCATTAAAGTTGGCCAAACTGTTGGATATTTTTTTAAATATTTCTACTTTTGCTTGCCCTACAATTATGTGAAAAGATATATTTTCAAAGTTGTTTTTTACAGTTTATTTAAGCTATTGCATACAAGGTTACTGAAAAACATTACTTAGTTTTTTTATCAAACCAGCTGGGCTAACTATTCCAATCTATTCAACGAAGAGCCACTTAAGTAAGACAAAGTAAAATTTTAAAATATTTGTTCAATACGAAGCAGATGTACTCGTATGCCAAAAGCATCTGCCGTAGGGAATTCCGCAGAAATCGCCCCCTATTTTTTTAAATTATAACTATTCTAGCCAGGAGCTATGTTATGTCCATTGGCCGCAAACTTTCTTTAATTATCTTTACTGGCTTGGAGTTTTGTCCATTGGCCGAATACTTGTAAAATTATGTTTCCATTAGTTTTTCTGCCCAATTACTGTTGCCATATTTCTAATTATTCATGTTATATCAGGTTTCTCGCTCAATGGTGAGTTGTTGATGGACGCTCTCGGTGGAGAGACGACATTTGCTGATGTACAAGGAGATAACTTCGTTCCCGCTTGTACACTTGGAGTGGGACAGAAGGCCCGGTAAGTTATTCTTCTTTGTTTTTTACTTTACGTTCTTTATTATGGCAAAATGACTATATTTGCGCTTGAAAAATGAGTCTTTATGACGTTTTAAACGTAATCAAAACGTTTTATTATTTTAACCATAATTTTTCTTCAATAGTTTATAAAATGTCGAGAATTGTAAACGAGCACAGCTGAAGCAGCATTTTATTTTCTTCATTTTCTTTTCAGGCTGACTTATGGACAAGACGTCAACACTCTAAAATACTTCACCACGTGCGGTCTTCAGGAAGGATACGAACCTTTCTGTGTGTAAGTATTGTAATAAATATTTATTTATAATTTCCTACAAATATTTTGTGATATTGCATTCTCAAAAGTTACCTAAACTATACTTTTTCTCACGACTGTAATTTTTCGACGTAATTTGACAGGAACATGAAGCGTGACGTCACCCACTGGTACACCAAGGACCAGCCCATCTTTGAAAACACGGATGAAATGCTGGACACCAGGATAGATGTTACCAGGATCCCAGCTGGCTCCGGTACGTACTTCGTTCGTTTCAGCCACGCCCACTGCTGGACAAAGGATTTCCACAACGACGGCTCCTGCGCTTCCCGCATCCGGATACTTCTCGCGATCTTTGCCAGATCGTCGGTCCACCTAGTGGGAAGCTTACTCGGGCCCGTGGTCGCCACTCGAGAACTTTTTTGCCCCAACGACCATCAGGTCTACGAGCTATATGGTTTTCCTGCGGATCTCCTCATTTCTGAGTCGATCACGCAGGGAAACTCCGAGCATAGTACCAATAAGTAGCAAACGACCATTATTTTTTATAGCAACAAATGGCACTAAAATATCTGCCCGTGTTTTATGTTTATGAACTAATTTGTTGATATATTTGTTCTAGAAACACCACCTTGCATGAAGATCTCTCACAACACATTTGAGACCATGGAAAAGGCCAACTGGGAGTTCCTACGGTTGTCTTTGCCCGTCATATGCCAGGCACAATTTATAGGGTAAGTTCGTTGTACGATCACTTTGTTGTATTTTATCTATAGTCCAAACCAAATGTTGGGACGTCCACAAGTGGACAGACGACTGCACGTCCACAAGTGGGCAGATGACTGCACGTCCACAAGTGGGCAGATGACTGCACGTCCACAAGTGGACAGATGACTACAGGACGCCGCAAAATGCAGGCCGCTTCCAACCGGCTAATTTAGAAATCACTGGAAGAGGAAATTGTTCAACTGTAGATGTAAATGATGATGATGATAGCCTAAACATTATATAATACAATATTGAAATAGTGTCAGTGTCAGGAACGCGGGTTTGAATCCCGCCTGCTAGACTATTCCGGTGAACCCAAGCATATTTGAGTATTTCTCAAAAAAAATGTACGTAACGAAACGGTAGTAACGAAATAGTAAGGCCATAAGGCTTGTTATACATTGGCGAAATATTGTGAATGCTCTTCATTTATTCAATTCGAAATATTTGTAAGTATGCACCCAATTAATAGGGGGTAATATTAAGGGGTTAGAAATAAAATAAGGGAGTAATCATTCATACTATTTTAATAAAATTATTTTTGTTCCATCATGTTTATCCATTTTGAGTCGTTCTCTGTAAGCTTTTTGCCTTTCGGCATTGGTTTTTGGCGGCATTCCTAAAAAAAAATTGTTCAGAAACCATGGGAAAGTAGAAATAAATCGTAACTAAAGAGTAAATAACGAAATAGTAAATGAGAGCGACTCATTTTGTTTTTTTGCTTAAAATTGCCAATTCATTATGACACCCCATAGAAAATCAATTTGATACAGAAACTTACGTATCGCATTTTATGAAACAAAAATACATGAAAAAGCTAGGGTGGCAAACAGGTTTTTGTATGAAAGGTAAAAAAGGACTATTTTTAAAATATCTAAATATTTGGTAATAAGTAGGATTATAGCTATAATTCATCGTTATCTTAAAGATTAATATTCATCCTTCAAAATTGTGTGTGTGTGTTTTTTGTGTGATGATTTATAAATATAAAACTTTTGAACTGTTTCAAAGCACACTTTTTTTTTTCAAAATGTACATTTTTTTTGAGAAATACTCATTTAACTTAGCACGAGGGGTTAACGGGACTATTACCAGAGTAAAGACAAATGAGTAGGTCATCTGCATAGAAACGCACCGAGCGCGGTTTGTATGTGAGCGCGCGCCAATACGTATGCGGCGCGCACGCACACACTGACAAAATTCAGCGCACCTCACCGCTAATCCACGCTAAATTTTGTATTTACTCTGCTATTACGAACGTACTACGTAGCACACTCATCAACCCGGAAAGGAATCGTTAACGTATCAACTCGAGGCGGTCAGTATTCTTTGTATGAAAGTCCATACTGCAACTCACACTTATCCGCACTGTAACGTAAACGCTTCGCCATGCAATGAGGGCTATCGTTTTAGCGCTCACCAGTTAGCGCCACTGTAGAGTAAGGTCCTGTCACTTACTAGTAGCGAAGACAGTGGCGCCAACTTGTGAGCGCTAAAGTGGTAGGAGGACTATTGTATTTGCACTCATCAAGATGGCGCCACTGTAGAGTAAGGTCCTGTCAATCGCCAGGGGTGCCAACTGTTAAGTATAAAAACGATAGCCCTCATTGACTGCGCGTGAAACGTGATGACAGGTCGCGAAATGCGATACTGTGCTTTAGAGTTGATAAGTCTGTATGACCTAGACTCATTATTATACTATACTATTAGTAGTTAATGTGTTTCGATTAATTTTTAACTGTCTATCTACCTTTGTCTTATCCAGTGAACAAGAGAAAGCCAGAAGATGGGTGGAGATCAAAGAACGTCAACAAATCCTGATGAAGGAAGCAACTGAGGCCCAAATGCCAGCCCACATCGATCAGATTATGAGAAGTGGGTTCACCATGAATGATATCAAAGGTATGTACTGAAAATACCCTTAATATTATTTTAGAATCTCCCAATTTGTTAATTTTTTACCACCTTTTACTAATTTTAGTTTGCACAGTTTTTTTAGATGCCCCTTAAAGTGGATGACTGCATTTTCAAAGGAAAATTATTGGATTTGGATTCTCGGTTCGTGATCATATTAAAAAAAAACTAAAGCAAAAAATAACTGTATACAGAGTGGAAACGAGAAGTGATCGCACTCGATTATTACTAAACTATACAAGATATCGAAAAACTGGTTACTGATCCTGAAAGTGCTTCACGAGCTCTATCAATCGGTATCAATAATTGGTTACAGAATAAACTGTATCTATCCAAAAACTTCTGGAAAATGTAGCGTCATCCCTTCGCCCAAAAAGTCCCGCTTCCATGTTACTTTGCCCGTAACCCCCACGGCTTATCACACCCTGCCTGTCCCAAGGTCTGCACTACGAAGATAACCAGGACGACGTCCAGTCAAAGATGAAGAGGCAGCCTTCGAGACCCCCCCGCAAAGGCTCGGTGACGAGAGGCGTGACGTACCAGCAAGGTTGATTGGCTGCTTGCTTTTCTCGTTCTGTGCTGTCTCATTTTTTTTCACAGGCATTTTAAGTTGTCTACAGTCTTTTAAACTTTCATCTTGCATTTTTTATTAGTAAAAAATGGATATATGCATGGCTATATTCTCAATTGTTTTGTTGCCAAATCTCGTTATTGAGAATATTGTCTACAGTTGTTTATAAAGCTTAAGGTATATGCACATTAGTGCGGGGCGTACGATTTTATGTAAAGATAATTCTATAATATTTTGCCAATTTCTCTATGTGTAATAGAGTAAAACTTGATAAATTGATAGGTTATCAATTATTATGTCAGTCATGAACCGGCATTTACTTCATAATAATTATGTATAAATATATGTAGCATGCCCCGTAGTAATGTGATTATACCTCAGCCTTATGTCCAATTAAAACGTCATCAACGTAATATTTTGACACTTTACAGAACACCACCTAACAATAATGATCTCATTAAAATTATTGACAAATTATTTCAACAAATACAATTTTATTAATTACTTTTTTCAATGACTAGTTGTTTACTTGATAGTAATTATATTCATTATCTTTGACCTATACTATTGCTTAAGGTAGCACAGTTATTAGATAGGTACTTAGTACTTTTTGTCTTCTTTTAACTTTTCGTTGAGTATCAGTTTTACTTCTTTATACTTTTGTAAAAGTCTGTGAATTTATTAAACATCCTTGTGTATTAAAAAAACATTTTCAGTAAATATTTTTCATATTTTCGTCCATATAACTCTTCTAGCATCTTTTATACTTCTAACTCACACAATCTGTATCAAAATTATAATCTCAAACCTAACTCTTCACTGCACTTAACTGTTTTATCTTCAACTTTATTTCTTATGTAATAAAGTGCACTTTCCTTGTGTAGGTCAAGTGAACGGCATGCATAGGTCGACGAGCGAAGCCGAGATGTCTAAATACGAGTTGGGCGTCCAAAACCTGGCCGATGAAAAGAAGGATAAGAGAGGAAGATCGCCTTTCAAGTAAATATACATACATTAACTAGCTTTCCGCCCGCGGCTTCGCCCGCGTGGAATTTTGTCTGTCACAGAAAAACAATATCGCGCGCGTATTTACTCACCGTTTAGACCTGGACTACGATAAACATTTTAAAACCAAAATCAGCTCAATCGGCCCAGTCGTTCTCGAGTTATAATCAGACTAACGAACATCAATTCATTTTTATTTATATAGATAGATAGATGATATCTAGCGGCCGCCCGCGACTTCGTACGCGTGGATCCCGTTTTACCCCCTTCATCTATCTTCAGCGGTTAACTCCAGTTCCCGTAGGAATTTTGCAATATCCTGTTGTAACTAAGCTTTAAGTTTACTAAGGTACCTGCATGCCAAATTTCAAGGGTCTATCTTACGCAGTTTAGATTTTTTCATACATATGTTTTTTCCCGCTAACTCCCGTTCCCGTGGGAATTTTACGATATCCTGTTGTACCTAAGCTTTAAATTTACTAAGGTACTTGCACACCAAATTTCAAGCATCTAACTTAAGCGGTTTAGATTTTTCATACAAAAGGATTTTTCCGCTAATTCCCGTTCCCGTGATAATTTCGGGATTTCCTTTCTTAGTGCACCTCTACGGTACCTAAACTACGTCCCTTCTAAATTTCAAGTGCCTACGTTTAGCCGTTTAGGCTGTGCGTTGATCTGTCAGTCAGTCAGTCAGTTTCTCCTTTTATATATTTAGATGATTTATTTACCTAAATATTTTAGTTCCCTATTATTTTTAGCCGTTTTTACCAATTAACCGGTTACGAAAAGCGACACAATGAAATGTGAATTTACTAGTTGACGCCGTATCATGTCTGTCTTATTCTTGTTAGTAAAGAAATTCAGTGCTGGACTAATAGAAACTTAAATAATAAAAACTGACTCTATTGGAGTGTTAGCTGCTTCAGTCTACTTAATTTATATTAATTTTTGTTCAAAAAAATGTCAATTTACATTGGTGCTGACTTAGAGTTACTTTTGATGTCGATATTATGTTAGATTTGACTCACATCTACTTTGGTACCTTGCTACGTACTAACGACTAACGAATGCTTTTTTACTTTGTGTAGAGGCACTTTTCTTTTAATATTTATCTTCATTTGCATTATCCTTGAAGGTTCTTCAAAAGCAAACGCGGCGAGAGCGGTGACAGGGCGAAGTCTCGCAAGTCGAAGACTCCAGATCCCTTCAGTGACACGGAAGTCTCCCCAGAGAGAGGACCAAGGAGACCTAACCCTCAAATACGCGTTTCACAGGTAAATATCATGTCAAAGCTCGTGTGGTTTGGGTTTGTTTGATCTGAATGATTTTGTACCCTACAAAGTTTGGTTGACGTGACAGAGAACCCAAACTAAAATCTAACGCAGAAGATACTCATATATTCATAATGTATCCAAAATTATGTCCAAAACTTAGTGAATTATTCCTTCTAAGAATGTTTTGAATTAATGTGTTAATAATGAGTTATTTTAAATGTATTTACATCTGTGATTAAACATTGCATTTGCATCAAATGAAGCTACATCAGTACGTTTCCAATAAAGATAGTAGACTAATAATTAAAAATGGTTTAAGTACCTTTTTTGTGATTAGTTTACATTAGGAAACGAGGCCCTTTAGGGAAACTTATCACCATCAATATCATCATCAGCCAGAGATCACCATTAGACGAAAAAGCAGTAAATATCCTTTACTTCAATATTTTGAAGGTCTCACGAACTTACCTTAGCATATTAAGGGTAAATTCACATTCCTACATGGTGCGTAAAATTTTTCAGTATCTGGAATTTTGACGAACGCCCCACGCACGACCCACTAACGCCCCGTTGCAATGTGAACTATCCTTAACACTATTGGTGAACTCTGGCCTAGGAGGTTTTCTGGCATTTTGTTTTTTTGTCAAATAATTTTGTGTTGACTGTACCCTTTTTTCCTAAGGCGAATCAAAGATATGACAACATGCTCCCAAGGGCTAGTAAACCCACCTTGTATGACAGCCAAGGAGGTTTGAACGTAAGTCCTAGCGACTTTATGGCTAACACGATTGTCTATGGTTTCTTACTAACTTTTCTTGTTAATAAAACTTTTTCTTTCTAGAATAGATTAAAAATGTTTTCATTTATTTAGTCGGGCTTATTTTTTAAATTCAGATTATATTGTCTGGCCTTCTTCCGCCACTTTTTCTTAGTACAGTCAGCGTCAAATAGTTCGTGACGTCAAAGTAGCCAAAAAGTTCGCAATATGCCTTTATTTCAATTGTAATTAAAGCCTGGTCCGTGAGCACTTAGAATTTTGTCCAATGACCCCAAGCTACCCATCCTTATCGCTCGCGCGTAATTATATTGCTGTCGCGACTGTCCGACGGGCGCCCGCAGTGAGTGTGCGAGCGCGACAGCAACATAATTACGCGCGAGCGATAAGAATGGGTAGCTTGGGGTCATTGGACAAAATTCTACGTGCTCACGGACCAGGCTTTAGCTATTGTCAAGTTTGTGGCTTTGGGTGTCACGAACTACATATTTGACGCTGTTCTTCTAACCGATAATATAGTCCAAAGTAAGAGAAGTTATAAATATGACTTGCCTCTTTAAGCGCAAAAATATTGCCTTCAATGGAAGATATTATTTCTTGATTTCTGTTAAAATTTACCTAAAACACAGTCACTTAAGATCAGAACGTATCTTAACTTCCCAAAAATAAGTAAAACCTATCAATAGGCTAGTTTCCTAAAAAAAATTTTTTAGTCCGTCATGTTTAATATCAAAAAATATTGGACACATATATTTTTATTTGTCAATCTAACAAATAATTACATAGTTATGGTGC